CAACACCATCACCAGCATTATGGACTAGGAAACACCTGAACTCTTCCATGAGAAAAATCTAAAGTGTTCTTGTTTCATGTAATTACATGTATGGGTCTGTTTGTTAACAGCCTAGTCTACCTTATCTCATACGGTGGATAAAAGAGGGGATTCTAAAAGTGGAGCCAGGGCAGAAAGGTTAATGAAAAGACTATTTTAATCAACTACAGGAGATATATTGATAGTTTACAGAAGGGTGTTAACAGTGAACCTGGCAAGATATGAGCAGATACAGAGTATAGTTTGAAGAGAGAACCAACGTGGACAAGGGTGGCAGAAGGGGAACCTGTCTACTTCATCTCAATCCTACTGAGGAGCTTTTCATGGGACCAGTCGGAGCTCTGAAATATTTTCTCTGAAAAGGTACCTGATCTATCTGAGGAAGCCAAAACCCGTGTGACGACAGGACAGAGGTGGCCATACTGGGATGTGTGTGCTCTCACAGAGTTTCTGGTAAGCATTTCCACTAAACAGATGAGAGTCACAGGGAAGGAGAGGCTTGTCACAAACTCTGTTTAGTTGGCTGCTTGGAGGCAAGAGAGAAGCCTTCAGCAGAAAAGGGGAAAGGACGCTGCACGAGAGCTTGTGCTCAGAGAATGTGGCACTTCAAGGGGCTCTTGGGAGATTCCATCACTAGAACTCAATCCTTGATACACATGGATGTACGCTCTTCTAGATAGAGGAATCTCCCAAGAGTCCCAATAAGGTGTCACATAAGAAAGAAAAATGTTTTATATAGAGAAGACCTCTCTACTCTACCCCAAGCTGGGGTCGTCAGAACCTGGCGATCAGGTCAGGAGTGGGTGGTCAGGAGGGTGGAGGATAGACAGACAAAGAGGAAGAAGCCAACCATACCACCAACTCTGCTTTCCCACTGCAGATCTCCAGCCCAGTGTGGACCCAAGCCGGGCATGAGAGAAATTTTTGCATTGAATCAGGTTTGGAATTTTACTACTATGTTGGATCATGCATCCAAAAACAGTGAACTAAATCTGTGCTTGTGATTTGAATGTACCGTCAGACTCTCTATTTCTAATAATGAGCATACGGGTCATGGGGTATGTCTGACTTTTCTTCTTGAAACAGGGGAAGATTAAGCCACTGAATAAAATTTAGAGACCACAGGAAACTAAAATACAATAATGTCTTGATCATGCTATAAACCATGCTTGTTCAACACAGTGGTTCAATTCATGACAGAGGAGAAATGTGGAAATGACATACTGAACAGGAGTTTGGAAAGCACTGAGCCCAGGCCACGGTGCTTCTCTACTGACTTGGGAGAAACATGGCTCAATCATTACAATTTCTTTCTTTTTTTTTTTTAAAGATTTTATTATTTATTTATTTGACAGAGAGAGAGATAGCGAGAGCAGGAACACAAGCAGGGGGAATGGGAGAGGGAGAAGCAGGCTCCTCGCCGAGCAGGGAGCCCGATGTGGGACTCGATCCCAGGACCCTGGGATCATGACCTGAGCCGAAGGCAGATGCTTAATGACTGAGCCACCCAGGCGTCCCCAACCATTACAATTTCTTAAAGAATCATAAGAAAAGGCACTACGGCTATGTTTATAAATATCTAACAAAATATTAAAACATATGAGATTCCTCTTCAGTTTTGAGCTTGCTTTCTACATGAAGTATTATTGTCTACGTTATTTAAAGTTTTAGTTTCCTATTAAAAAATATCAAATGACAAATTCAGAAATGTTTCTAGAGTTTTATTCCTGTCTGCACCCTATATTCTTATTTTTTGCCCATGAATATTCTCAAGTGGTAATGGGAATTCTATGTACAAAATATCCCTGTGTTTGCCCAGAAAACCTGGTCTGTGGATTTCGATTTAATTACAGATAAGAACGGCAGAAAAATAAACCTAGAGCTCTATTTTTACTGTACCCATAACACAGTTAATCTGAGACACTGGAGAGGTCTACGAATTCAGAAGACTTGAAAATAATTTCTTTGATATAATAAAAAGAGAACCATTTTCTTTAACTGAATTCCTTGGCCTTTGTGGCAGAAATCAGATGCCTCACATTATTGTAGCAGTTTCTCTCCCCACATGCAATCTAGGACCCATTAACCAAGGCTATTTCTATATTCAGTAACATTTTATACAAACTCGATTTTATGAATGATGTGGATGCCACTGCTGAGAGGTCCCACTAGTAATATAATATGGTGATGCAAATGCACACTTCAGATAAATTAAAGGCATAAAAATAAATTATAAATTGGGGAAATACATTTTTAAGCTATATATTTTTTTTAGGTCATTCCTGTCAAAGTTGGAAACTATCCTTTGTAAGAACACGATGAAAACTGCTAGATGAAACAGGGGAGAGTAGATCGCTTCCTGAGCATGTATGTGCTGTGGCTTGTTAGTCCCTTATGGAGGGCACCTGAGCAACACAGACATTTTATGCTAGATATTCTCCCAGTTGTATAGGAATTCAATGTAGTTGCAGATAATCTTCTGGTCAAACTATATTTAATGCATCATTTTTCTCTAGTGAGTTCCTACCGTTGATAGAATAATGGAATGAAAAGTTCTCCATTGCATCCATGAGTCTTAAAAATTGTTTGGCAATGCTTTAATTAATCTCACAATTTTTGTAGCAAGATTTGGTAGAAGTATTTCTATTTGAGAAAGCATGTGTTTAAAGATAAATAAAAAGCAGAAATAATAAACATGGGTAATTTGTACAGTTTTGTTCTTTTTTTTTTCTTGAAAATTGGGATGGCCAAAGAACAAAATCTAGTTACTCACTGTGACAAGGCTTAGAGCAGTGTCATTTCACCAATACTGATATCAAAGTTAGGAAGGTTAAGATACTTCCATTCAGGGACCCTGTCTTTTTATTTATCACCATATATTATTATTCCCTTGTATTCTTTTTTTTTTTTTTAAGGATTTTATTTATTTGACAGAGAGAGACACAGTGAGAGAGCGAACACAAGCAGGGGGAGTGGGAGAGGGAGAAGCAGGCTTCCCGCTGAGCAGGGAGCCCGATGCGGGGCTCGATCCCAGGACCCTGGGATCATGACCTGAGCCGAACACACATGCTTAATGGCTGAGCCACCCAGGCGTCCCTCCTTTGTATTCTTATCTTCCTTATGGATTTGTAAACCCCTTTGGGGGTAGGGATTTAGTCACTGATCTTTGTAGTTACCCCCTTGTAGCTCTTACAAATTTGCTGAGTCACTAGAATATGGTAGTTGTCCAGTAGAAATTTCTAAAATTAAACAACTGAAATAAAGATCACATTTCATTGGTTTTAAAATCCTTATTTATGTTCACATTCAAACAACTCCAAAATCAGAATGAACCTTACATTCAATACCCTTTTACGATTGCTATCAGCAGGGCACAGCAGTGGTGCTCTGGCTTGGAAGAAAATCAGAGACACTATTTCTCTATAATTCTGAATTATAAGTGTTCTTAATGACAAAGAAAGATGTTGGGTAGACAACCACAGTCATCAAAAACTGGGATTAAAAGAGTCGGGTTGGTTCTGAGTGTGAAATTTTAAGAATAATTTAAGCAATTTATTTTTCTTTATTTTCCTTTTTACATCTACTAATGGGTGATACATGGTTTAAAAGAAAACCTAAGTATAAACAGATCTGAAAGACTTCTTTCAGTAACATTCTATCTCGTAAGAAAACACTGTGGTAGCTTAATTGGCATGTTTTACTTTGTAGTGAGACATAAAATAATGGCATATCTTGCAATTACTAAATATTGTATGGCCTACGATTTTATAGCAGATAGTGCATTCTTCAGAGTGTCTTGATTTATATCTAACACCTTGCAATATTTTGAATATAGTATGCTTTTGGTTAAGTAGCATATTTCTAAGAGTTTGGATAATAACAGATAACAAAACCACCATAATTCATGTTCACAAAATCACAAATGTTAATCTCAATACACTCAATTATGTTTTGCTTCCATTATAATCCTCCATCATGAGAAATTTTCATTTGCTTGTGAGAAGAGTGGGGGATCTAAGTATCTATTTTAAATTTAGAGCCATTGGTGTCCAGCCTCCATCCCCAACACAGGACCATGCCAGGTGAAGTGAGACATGAAGAACCACAACCTCCTTGCACCATAACTTATATCCTCCAAACCGGGGGGATAACATCTCCTCTAAGATGTGGTACCAGCTCACCAGGTGGCAGCAGCCATACTAGAACATCAGGGCTACCATTGACCTAGTGACTCACCTTTTATGTCAATTCCTCAAATACACTTTGTCTTTTATGATCTCTGACTTTTCCACGTCTTTCCCTAATCTCAGTCTGTTAAAACTCTACCCAGCCTATAGAACCTGATGTAAATGTCACTAGATATTTCCTAATAACCTCAGCTTGAAGTTACTGTAATTTTTTATATGTCTATAGCTTTTGCTTATGCCTCCCAAACACTGTATCATAGGGCTATTAATTGAGATATTTTATTTTCACTGATAGTATAATCCGTGAGTACAAGGTAATATTTTATAGATCTCTATATAATCCCACAATTTAGAGCTCTGCTTCTAATAGGGACTCAATAAATGTTTATTAAATATTAAATTGATACATTTGCTAAATTCCTAAACTAATACACAATCTGTATAATAATGTTTAATGCTCTATGCCATATTTGCATTTTAATGATTTTTTTTTTTACTAAGAACATATAAAAACTATTCAATGGAACAGTTTCATAGTATCATTAAGAATATGTTACGAAAACTATCCAATGCAAATATAAAGCATGATTATTAAGATTCAGAAATCTTAGTTTCCATTTATAATTAGACATCATTCATCAATTATAAATAATTTTCTACGTATGTTAGACATGTATGCAATATTTGAGGAAATGTTTTTATATTCAAAATTGTTTTGCGATAGCCTGGTTAATCCCAGAAATCTATGTGGTAACATTCTCTAGGCCAACTTACCTCTCACAATTATGTTGGTGGACTTTTTTGCAGGGTTTCCCACATTATTATTGGCGATGCAGCTGTAAGTACCAGCATCTTCTGAGGTGATGGCAGGTATGGTCAACGTTCCTCCATTTAAAACAGTCTTTTCAGGCAGAGTCCCAAAGGACCTGACCCAGGTGAGAGTGGGTGCAGGCTCTCCTCCTGTCGTAACACATACTAATGTTATGGCCTCTCCAGGATTTACAACTATAGGGTCATCCACCAAGAGTTTAATTGACGGAGATGCTAAAAGACATAAATAGAAGAAAAACATGCACTATTTAGATCTGTTACAAGTGGAATTCAACGGCATGCTTTATATTTACTCAAACAATTAAAATGGCATATTCTTTTCCTTTGCCAAGATCTTATTGTATTAATCAAGTTTAAACCACATATAATGGTTACATACATTAATTACATGGTATAAACCTGTAGAAGTGTATTAAGAATCTTACACATAGAGAGAGAGGAATCAAAATTTGTGTATTCTGAGATTATTGTTCCAAAATCAGAATGACAAGAAGGATTAAAGTTTTTAAACAAAAATCCCTTTCTCTTTGAATGCTGACAATCACCATTTGTTTCTGTCCTTCCAGGTATAAATATTGCAGCTGTTTAGTCCTTGTATTTTCATGGTGGAGATTGTCAATTATTTAATTTTGGATCATTCGGAGGTGAAATGATACATTTTTGTACCTGAACACAACTGAGTAAGAGATAAAGGCATAGATCATTCCAGTCTTTTACCAAGCAGTGGGCCTGGTTTTTTATCTTGAAAGGAATAAAAAAATCATGTAATTCTAATGCAGTCTCCATACTTCACCTCTCACCTCTCCATTCACAAAAGGTCTAGACAGTGAGTTCTCATCACCACTGCTTTAAAACAAACAAATGAGAGCTCAAACATAGTCACCAAACTGTGCCTCCTAGCACTCGAATGTTTAGTTTATAATAATCTCCCCAGTGAAAATAAGTCATTTGCAATCTTTCAGGTTAAAAAATACAAAGATAAAATATCCATTAAAAAAAAATGCTGTGTTAGACTTTTCATCAAACACTCAAAATAGAAACAGCACAAAAATATGTATGTTCACATACAGCACTTCTTTTCTGCTTACATTGCAGTGCTGGCCTACAACAATGCATTCCTAAAGAAAAACAGGGAGGATGCAGTATGCTGGTGTTTGATCTCACATATTCAGAGATATTTTATGCCAAAGTCAAAACTGTATTGTATGAAATCAATCCATATTAGAAACACTTAACGTGTTCAATTGTACTGTGTGATTTTTTTGCTATTAATTCAGCTTAGACTTGGAGAGTGTTTTTCTCAGAATAAAAGGTAAATTCTTGTGTGGTCTTATATTTGTCTTCCTTGTTAAAACAAAACAAAACAAAACAGAGGAGAGCAAGAAAACAATTCCCTGTTATTATCATGGTTCTGTGGGATAGACACAGTTTGCCTGGATAACATTTTTAAACATAATTTTTGCATGTTGGTCCTTCTAACATCATTTTAAGTAATATGGAAGTTTTCAAAGTATCTTAATAGACCTTGTGAGGTGTTGACTTTAAATTATAAAGATTTATGACTAAAATTAGAAAATGTACATAGTGAAAAGAATATGCAAAAGGCACTCATTTAGTAGAAAAGAAAATTCTCTGAAGAGTTAAGGTTGTTAAGCCGACAAGAGATATTACTATTTAAACATTTCAAAAATAGATATTATATTTAATTATTGATATATTGCCATGAAGAAGTATAAGAAATCCCTATAGCCCAATTGAGCCTAATTTATACTATAAATTGTATAATCTTACAAAGGTGTTCAGTTAAAATATAATTCTAGAGATTCCAACTTTTGTATCTTATTAACAAAGTTCATTTGTTTTACATCATATTGTAGTAAAATTAAAAGTCCCAAGGCTTAGGGGCCATTAATAGCATATGTTTGGACTATGGAAACATACAATGGTTACATTATCTCATGAAGTATTTGCCTCCGAAATTGACTTGTACAAAGATGATTTGTTTTTCTTTCTTTTCTTTTCTTTTTTTTTTTTTTTTTAAGATTTTATTTATTTATTTGACAGAGAGAGACAGCGAGAGACGGAACACAAGCAGGGGGAGTGGGAGAGGGAGAAGCAGGCTTCCCGCCAAGCAGGGAGCCCGATGAGGGGCTTGATCCCAAGACCCTGGGATCATGACCTGAGCCAAAGGCAGACGCTTAACGACTGAGCCACCCAGGCACCCGATGATTTGTTTTTCTATCAGACAGACAAATTTAAAGAAAAAAAGCTCAAGAAAATTCCAAACTTCAAAAAACAATACATACATAACAAGACCATTGTTTTACCTGTAAGGCACTATGCAGAACTGTATTCACAATCGTATTTTAAAAAATCCTCTTTTTTGTGCCAGTACCATGCTGTCTTGATGATGACAGCTTTGTAATAGATCAGTGGAACAGAATAGAGAGCCCAGAAATGGACCCTCAACTCTATGGTCAACTCATCTTTGACAAAGCAGGAAAGAATGTCCAATGGAACAAAGACAGTCTCTTCAACAAATGGTGTTGGGAAAATTGGATAGCCACATGCAGAAGAATGAAACTGGACCATTTCCTTACACCACACACAAAAATAGACTCCAAATGTTTGAAAGACCTAAATGTGAGACAGGAGTCCATCAAAATCCTAAAGGACAACACAGGCAGCAACCTCTTCAACCTCAGCTGCAGCAACTTCTTCCTAGAAACATCACCAAAGGCAAGGGAAGCAAGGGCAAAAATGAACTATTGGGACTTCATCAAGATAAAAAGCTTTTGCACAGCAAAGGAAACAGTCAACAAAACCAAAAGACAACCGACAGAATGGGAGAAGATATTTGCAAATGACATATCAGATAAAGGGCTAGTATCCAAAATCTATAAAGAACTCATCAAACTCAACACCCAAAGAACAAAGAATCCAATCAAGAAATGGGCAGAAGACATGAACAGACATTTTTCCAAAGAAAACATCCAAATGGCCAACAGACACATGAAAAAGTGCTCAATATCGCTCGGCATCAAGGAAATCCAAATCAAAACCTCAATGAGATACCACCTCACACCAGTCAGAATGGCTAAAATTAACAAGTCAGGAAATGATAGATGTTGGCAGGGATGCGGAGAAAGGGGAACCCTCCTACACTGTTGCTGGGAATGCAAGCTGGTGCAGCCACTCTGGAAAACTGTATGGAGGTTCCTCAAAAAGTTGAAAATAGAGCTACCATATGATCCAGCAATTGCACTACTGGGTATTTACCCCAAAGATACAAAAGTAGGGATCCGAAGGGGTACGTGCACCCCGATGTTTATAGCAGCAATGTCCACAATAGCCAAACTGTGGAAAGAGCCAAGATATCCATCGACAGATGAATGGATAAAGAAGAGGTGGTATATATATACAATGGAATATTATGCAGCCATCAAAAGGAATGAGATCTTGCCATTTGCAACGACGTGGATGGAACTGGAGGGTATTATGTTGAGTGAAATAAGTCAAACAGAGAAAGACATGTATCATATGATCTCACTGATATGAGGAATTCTTAATCTCAGGAAACAAACTGAGGGTTGCTGGAGTGGGGGCTGGGGTGGGAGGGATGGGGTGACTGGGTGATAGACACTGGGGAAGGTATGTGCTCTGGTAAGCGCTGTGAATTGTGCAAGACTGTTGAATCTCAGATCTGTACCTCTGAAACAAATAATGCAATATATGTTAAGAAAAAAAAAAGAAGAAGAAGAAGAAGGTAGCGGGAGGGGAAGAATGAAGCGGGGGAAATCGGAGGGGTAGACGAACCATGGGAGACGATGGACTCTGAAAAACAAACAGGGTTCTAGAGGGTAGGGGGGTGGGAGGATGGGTTAGCCTGGTGGTGGGTATTGAGGAGGGCACATTCTGCATGGAGCACTGGGTGTTATGCACAAACAATGAATCATGGAACACTACATCTAAAACTAATGATGTAATGTATGGGGATTAACATAAAAATAAAAAAAATCCTCTCTTTTCCAAAACTGAATTGAAAAAAGAATATTGTCCAACCACGTTTTGTTGAAGATGGCATTCATTTTTCTAATTATCCCTGATATTAAAAATACCCCAGGAGCACCTGGGTGGCTTAGAAAGTTAAGTGCCTGACTTGATTTTCGTTCAGATTATGATCTCAGGGTAGTGAAATTGAGCCCTGCACTGGGCTCTGTGCTGGGTGTGGAGATTGCTTGAGATTCTCTCTCTCCCTTGCCTTCTGCCCCTCCCCTGCACCTGTTCTCTCTAATTCAACATTCTCATAGGGCTTTTCAAAGCTCATGAGCAAAAAAGTATTATACCTATTTCATCATCTACCTTGCAAATGTTATTTTTTCACTGTGTCCTTAAACTGTCCAACCATCCTGAATTTGCATTATAAGCTTCATCTTTAGCACTTATATAGCTGTACAGGAAATGAGAAAGAGAAATCTCATTACATTAAATCATGTAGGTAGCTGAATGTTCAGTAAATGCCTATAGCATGTGTTGGTCAGACTACCCCATCACTATATCAGTATAAACATGTAAGACCACACAGCTCATCAGTTTCCTTCTTATTATGAGAAAAACGCAGTGTCCTAAAACATACTGTAAGATCTAGACATCCATACATTCTTCACAGCAACATGTGAGAGAGATTATTATTTTACATTCATTGTTGAGTGATAAAAAAATTAAACATGAAGGTTGAAAAGGGGAATGATATCATTTTGAGGAATTCTGTTTAAAACAATGCTCCAGGATATGGCAGTATTTAAAACAATATTCATAAACAATCTCTAATTCAAGAGAGAGTCTTTGCTACAGATATTGAAACCAACATGCATTTTTCACTATGTTAATATTCACAGACTGGATATTTCTGGAAATGACTGAAAAGACAGAGTAAGTGTGCTCCTTCATGGAAATTTACAGAAAAGTCTCCTAGAAGAGACCTAGTTCATAATATCAGGGTTCCAAACCAGGTTGGCACAACATCTTTTGTTATTATCATTGTTGTTGTTGTTGCTGTTGTTAGGAAGGAATGTTTTTAAGTGTGTTGCTTATTTTCCCTAGCACAACAAATTTCAATACACTCGTTCATTCAGGAAGTATTTATTGACTACCTACGATGTATTTAGTCCCTGTGATAGGCACTTGAGGTCTACTGGTGAAAAAAACAGTCA